TTTGCATGTAATTTCTCATATATTAGTTTCACCTTTTAAGTTGCATTACTGAAATAAATGAACTTTTGCATAATATTCTAATTTTCTCAGATGGTGGATTTGGGGTTTTCATGAGCTGTACGCCATAATCATCACAATTATGACAAATCACGGCTTGAACTATCTTGCTTTGCATGTAATGAGTCTTATCTCATATATTAGTTTCACCTTTTAAGTTGCATTACTGAAATAAATGAACTTTTGCACAATATTCTAATTTTTTGAGTTTCACCTGTATAAGAAATTCCACTGTAGAACATAAGGTAATACTGTAGATGCCGACTAAAGCCAAAAAAAAAAAAATCTGTGTAGTGTATAAACTACAAAGTGTGGTTTCTATTGTGCTATGCATTATAAAGGGGAAATCTGATACTTTATTCATCTGCTTAAAAGGCAATAGGAACCCATTTCCATATTATCAAAAACCCAGAAGTTGAACTCACCTTCAGGAAACACTTTTTATCCACTTGTAAGAGACACCATAGTTTATTTAGAAAAGAACCACAATTAAGGGCCAAGAACATTTATCTTGAAAACCATAAGATTTGTTTTAGAGATTGTTCTAAAAAATAAAAAGAGGAGTATACGTTTATATGCTACTGAACGTCACATTCTTTTACTAGGTTCATGGAAAAATTGTCAGTGATACAAAGCTTGATCCTGTACATGTGCAATTACTTTTCCATTCAAATTATTAATTCAAAGGAAGTTGTTCCTATTGACATATGATACATTGGGTCAGTGAAAGATATATCTGATGAGTGAGCTGATACTTAATTTCTATATTCCATTATATTCTGGAACGAAAAAACAACTATGAAGGCAGTAGTCCAGCAGACTTGAGTTTTTCTAATTATCTGTAGTAACCATACAAGGCAATTGTGCATTGGGAGTGATCTATAATTTATGAGAGACTTTCCAATTGTCTCAACATGCAGGTCAGACTGCTGATTGAATAAAGCACAATTGACACAATTGACATGTAAAGCCATAGCTGTTTTCACAGAACACATTAAACTGTCAACAACCAAATTATCTTATGGTTCTGTGAATCCAGGCACTTTTTCCCCCTCAACTCCCCAGATATCTGGGGCACCACAATTTAGCCCTCGTATTGCTGATATCTATCTTTCTGCCGCACAAACTCCCCATTTTTTTAACCTTTTAAGATTGGGAACTCTGAAGTGTTTGGTCTGACAATACTATAATTATTAAGAATCAGTTTGGTGTTCTGGTGAAAATGCTGTCTGAGAAACCAGGAAACTGACTTCTACTCCCATCTTAGGCATGAAAGCCAGTTGGATGACCTTGGGCAACTCATCTCTCTCTCTAGTCCAGGCCAACCCACCTCACAATTATAGTGGTGGAGGGAAACAAAAGAGGAAGATTTTTTTTGGTCGTTCTTTATTTTATATTGCTTATACATATCAATGCATGAACAGTCTGATACCTGGGTATCATACATTTTAGTACACATAAACATAGTATTACTTATAGTTATTACATTTCATTTTCATTTCATATTGTTTAAACATATCTAATACTACCACCATTCAATTTCTAAATCTCCCTTATTACATATATCATGTCTGTCTGTCTGTCTGTCTGTCTGTCTGATCTATCTATCTATCTATCTATCTATCTATCTATCTATCTAT